CGGCAATGTTACTGAAAAGCTTCTAACTTCGTTATTATCAGAACTTTTCTTGATGAAAAGTTTTTAAGCAGTTCCTTGCAAGTTTTGGCTCTGTTTGTTCCTACCGTTTAAAGGAGGAAGGTTCCGTAACTCCGGGCGAAGCATCGTTTAGCAGATACGGAAAGAATTTTTAACTTATCGCCTGAAAACGAATGCATGGGTATTGCAGCTCATTGCAAATGACCGTACCGACGTGGTCACCTTTCCCGGTAAGCGGCCCTCTCAATGCCCAAAAGGTCCCGAAAGCTCAAGCGCTACACCTTTTTGGAACCAGTTTTTGGTAAAAAAAAATACAACTCATACAGACTACTAAATGATCCCTGTGATAACGAAACAACCATTACTGGCCTATCGGTACTATTTTGTGACATCAAGCAAAGGCCAATCGAAAATGCGAAACTTTGTCACCACTGGAAATTGAATTGCAAACCGATCTTTTGTGCGTTTTTGGCGTTCAGAGGACCGCTCAGAAAAATGGAGCAAAGTTCTAGCGGATTTCTGCCTCTGTGATGGTAGAAATCGTTTTGAAAAAGCGGGTCACGACCTGAGCCTTCCTGGTAAGTGCTCTATCAATGAAAAGCGCCTGTCAATTAAGATTGAGTAATCACGTGTTGGTCGATGAATCTTGGTCCGATCACCTATGTAGAACTAGAGCTTCCGCTTGATCACAAATCCTCCTCTCGAGGTGTGCCAGTCAAAGTCGACTGTCTTTTATGTTCGACTTCTTTTTCCCGAACACTCACAATGCCTTTCATCGAGCAATTTCCTGTTAATTGAATGGATCATTCACTACGTGTTCGTTCAGTCTGTTTCAAACAATGAAACGTTCTTATATAGAAACACAAACCATTCCAGATTCATCACCACTCTGAGCGCGGCCGTATTGGTGATGCTCGTCCTGATCACATTAGTGTTTTTCTTCACAGCTCCTGCGTACGGTGCGGTGAGTTTCAGCATCAGTTTTGTCCTTAACGCAATCCACTTGGCTTAATGACAGATGGCACGATAAATTAGTTGCTCTTGGAAATAAGATTTAGAGGTGGTAAATGGTGCAGAGGTAAAGAAAAACCAAGAGGGCCTCAGTAAAGCCCATCACTCCTCTGCTGATTTTCGCGCTGGACGCTCCAGCAACCGAATAGTTCATTTGGACGTGTTTGTCCCGACAGTCGGTGTCACGCCAACAAACGTTGTGCTTTGATAGATGAAACCGCATGAACGTAGAGGATGCGCCACCTGAGAAGGATTAACTTCAAAATGGGCGAATTATAATGATAGCAATATCAGCTCACAGTATCTAATCATTCAGTCTCCTCTGAGCGGTACCCTGCACGGAGGTGGAGCTCACCACGGATAATTCCTTGCTACCAATTTTTTTTGCTACAACCAATTTATCGTCCCTTAACTACCTTCAACTTCCACGAGCCTTTACGTATTAAACGCAGTACTGCCTTCAGACAATTACAGAGTCAACGGTCCACAGCGTCGCTAGACATAATGACCATGGGTAAATGTTATGCCGCATCGATCGATCAGAGTATTTATCAGTGAAGGGGGTGGGGGGGTTGGAGGTGCGAACATCGAAACATGTGATTTCAAAAACGCTCAACCAACGGCCAATTCCAACAGATGGGAGAAACGCCAGGGAAAAAAGAAATTGCTCACAAATTTTCAGAATCCCTTCCCCTCCCTGAAGCTTAGTTCCAAGTATTAGATTATTTTTAATGACCCTCCGACCCTCAATGAAATGCCACCCCCCCCCCTCGCTCCTCCACTGCGTAGCGGAGCGTAGCTCCTTAAGTGAATTCTGCAAGTTAGAAAACATTTTGCTTGTCAAGAAGAGGTTCCGATGGATTGGATGAGGGATGAGATTTGGTGTTATGGATTATTTCAATTGGTGACAACTGCATAAAGTAGGATAAAATCGTAAGAATTATTTGCTGAGTCTCATATAAACTGCAGGGCACCTAGGTAATACAAGCACGTAACTGACATGATAGGTGGCTTAATCGGTAGAATTACCGTATTCAATTTATATTTCAGTCGATTGCTGGTGAAGTACCGTTCGAATGGGGTCCGCCGTCAAACAGTGTGGAGGGAACGTTCAGAAAAGCTGCTGTCACCACGGATCACGCGACATGCTCGGAGATCGGAGGGTTCGATTATTCTTCTCGCGATAATTTTCTTTTTTTTTCCATCACAAAGCCATCCAATACCAAATTGCCACAGGGCCATTATCCGACCACTTGCCCGTCTTTGAGCTTAGCTACAGGAGATCATCCGATCTGCCCGAGACCACACCTCATTTCTACGAATTTTATTTTCTATGTAGCACACCATTCGTAAACGAGGTGATTATTCAAGGGCGAGCAACGTTTAGCACAGCCATGAATGCTGGTTGGTCCACGAACATTTCTACTGATTTACAGGTCCGTTACCAAGCACTGAGAGAGTACAGATAGGTAGGTATCTTTTTCGTATGACACCAACACTCAACGGTAAAGGCCAGAGCGGGATTTCAGATGTGATCGGGATTTCGGAGCATAGATGATCCAAATAATTGAAGCGCTGATTAACGACCTGATCCTTTTACTGTTTTCAGCGGAGTGGTTTATGGGGCACGTTGTCGGTTGTTACATACGTGCGGTATCGAGGCTCAAATTCCTGGAGCGAGCCACTAAGCTATCCAAGCTTTCACAAACTTTCATTTGCTACGGGCTCGGTTGCAGACATGTCTAGGAGGGAAATACACTAAATTGTCTAGCAGTTGTTCCTCGCATTATCATTGTGAGACCAAATTTATTCAGAGGAGAAGACGAGAAGAAAGCAGTTCGGGCACATCATCAGCAAAGAGGATTGATTCAAGCTGAATTTTTGATCCTTCCATCCTCTTTTGTCTTCTTCTGAGGAGATGTAAAGCATGTGTGATAAATTGGTGTAAGTTGGAAATCAGCGCGCTACAAAACCATCGAATTTTTCTTCATTCATACTTATAGGTAATTTTTTTGGTCTGACCAGAAAGGGCACCTGCAAACGGAGACTAAACAACTCTTCAAAGCACATCCCCCTAAATAAATTTTGGAAAAAGTACGTAAATAGTTATGCGATAAAAACAATTTTTGGTTTTCCAAACCGAATGGTTCAATTTTATATAAAATCAATGTTTATTGGTATTAACAAAAATACATTTCAGGGAAATATCCTGAAGAAAGGTGGGAATGCCGTTGATGCTTCTATAGCAGTGATGTTCTGCCTTGGAGTCACAAATCCGCAGTCAAGTGGTCTCGGTGGAGGATTCTTGATGACCATCTATAACAAGTAAGCTCTTTCTTCTGGATGGAGCACTTTCCCAGGAACAGAAACCTGTCTCAATCGAGTGTGGAAACCTCAAAATATCTCTAGAATTTTCTGACGGAAAAATTCGAGTGCTCTTGTTGTACATTCGGAAAAATTTCATGTTTTTCTTCTTTGGGACGGGGTTCCTCAATTTGGTTGTAGCCTTTCCCTTATTTTTGGGTTCAATACGGTAAATTCCTAGCGCGCTAAAATAAAAGTGGTTTCTGTTCAGGACCGAAGGTAAATGCGTTGCAATTGATGCGAGGGAAACGGCGCCAGCAGCAGCACATCGTGACATGTTCAGAAATGACAGTGATGGATCTAAATACGGTAAAACAAACAGTCCCACTATAGTTGGCGTGCTTGTTTCTATGATATCTTGCATGAGGGTTGAAATCGGCTTAGGTACTCAGAGAAGCTAGCCGGTTATTTGGTACAATTTACGGCATCTGGATCGGAAGTCAGTATAATTTCCAGCATACTTTCTTCCAGTTGGTGCGTTGAGCCTTTTTGTTCAGGAGCATTACGTAGCACTTCTCTCATAAGTCACAAAGTGAACGTTCGATTTTCCCCATTTCAAGTTCTGAGCGAAAATGATTTTTCAGCTTTCCCTCAATTTCCTTGAAGTGGCGGTTACGATATATAATGGCAGCCTGCTTAGATACGCCCTTTCCAAGGCCTAAGCAGTGCAGAGGCTAAAAAGATGATCAGACTTGAAGGCGCGCACTGGAAACTAAGGTAGAAGGGGTAGAGCGTGCCAGGGTAAAAGAAATACTTTGAGAAAACATACTAGAAGCTCGAAAATGGGACCGCTTCCTTGTTAGTGAGTCTGCAATGGTGCGATCTTCGCTGGTGCTGTCCTTTTAACGTGACGCCTTTGCTGACTAGTGAGGTCCTGCGCGAGATGGGCGTCGATGCGCCCGGAACTGGCATTGCTAAGATCAGTCTGCGCATTTTATCTGCATGGATGACGTGTCGGATCCGCAATTGATTTTCTTTCACCTTATCGTGGAATTGATTTGATTAAAAATATAAGGAAAGCTGTTACTCGTTTCAAATTCCGTTTAAATATTGATCACGGGAACGCTACAGCTCAGCAGACGAGTGGGAGCAGGTTTTGCCAAACGGGCACCTCTCGTCGAGAGCGAACTTATCAGCGCTACTCCAACGATGAAGTTTTCCTCATCTCTCTGCCTCCAATATAGCACTCACCGCTTTTATCGAGGATCATACCATATTACAATCCCACACCACACCCGCCCACCCATGATTCAACAGCAACCAAGTTGTTAGCTGTTGAAAATAAAGGGGAGGAAAGCATTTGCCGTTGATCAATCCCTTTTTGGGATGCGGCACGCATTCTACTTCCATTTGTACATTCGCAGTGGCATTTGAATGCGATGTGGCCTATACAATGACTTGCGGGGGCCAGCCGATGTACAAGTCAGTGTTTTTATCCTCCCAGACAAGTCTGGTACCAATTAACCGACCCCGGAGGGATGAAATACATGTAGCGACGGAGCACGACCCAGAGGATTCGGATCCCGCGTCGCGCGCAGGCCCCCCGCTTTTAAGCTGTGCCTAACCCACCACAGAGGTGCCTTAACTCATAACCAGAGCTTGAAGGGTGCGTGCAAATTACCAGCCCCTTACTAGACATTACCCAATCTCTTACCATCAGCTCATCCACTAACTGGAATGTATTCATTGCATGTGCTCCCGAAGCGTTGAAGTGAATATGTGTTGGGTGCATTTGTGGATCTTCAGGTCGTGTAGCTTGGAAGGAACTCATCGAGCCATCGGTGAAACTCTGTCGAAACGGCGTTCCGGTGTCGGAGTATCTGGACAATGTCATGAAAGTCAAGGAACGACATTTTCGACTGTTTTCTAGCATGAAGTGAGTCCGTGGCAATATTTCGATACGCTGTTCCCCGCTAGCGGCACCTAATTCAGCTTCCGACACAACAAAGTGATGGAGAATGTCAGACGCTATCGCAAGATACGGGGTATTTTCTAGGACTAGGCTCAGAAGGGGGCAGGAACTTCGGGAAAATGAAAATTGCTCACGCACCTGGAGTCTCTCCTCCCCGCCTGAGGCTTAGTCCCGATTTAATGAGAAGGAGATTTTTCACGTGGTTCTAAATGCATTGCTATCACAATGCCCCCTTTCTCGAGATACCGCCGCCTATCGTAATTCAATCAGATGGGAAAGTTGAGTCCCCAACACGCATTAAAGGATATCGCCTAAGCATATCAAGAATGCCGCATTTCGTTTTATAACTCTCAATTGTGGCTTTCACTTTCCCCAGACCAAATTTCTGGTGAGCTATAGTTCGTGCGTGTTAGCTTTGAAGGGCCCCACTTGGTGCCACTTTCATCAATTGTCTCGAAACCTCGTTTTTGCGTAGTGACCTACTTGCTGAAGGATATTCACCTATTCAGGCAATTTTTAGGATTTATTTATTTAGGATTTATAATTAACGAATTTCTTCAGGGCGTGGATTAATCCGCTCACCAACTCTACATATAGAGCCGGTGACCTTCTCCCGCGACTGAAGCTAGCTGAAACGTTGGAGAAATTGGCTAACTCAAATGATCCTGTGAAGCTGTTTTATCGTGGCGAAATGGCCGAAACTATCGCTAAGGAGATGGCTGAGGGAGGTGAGCAAACTGAAAGCTCTTCTGTTTCAAATGAACTGAAACCCTTCTTAGACTCGCTAAAAGCGCAAGCGGGTCCATGAACTTTGCTATTCCATTTCAAACATTTCTCACATTTATACTAGTGGAGTCGAGATTCTCTGCTATTGATTGAAAGAACCATATCATCCAGAACTTTTTCTTTATTTATAAAAGGCGTGTCCCGAAACAAGTTTTTGTTCACGAATATGGAAGAACTGGTGCCAAGTGGGCCGGCAGTGGAAGAAAAAAGGAAAAGAATCCGTCGAAAACGCTTAGGTTGAAGGGCTCACTCACCTTCCTAATGCGGCTGTGCTAAGGCAATGAGAGACTGAGCGCGAAGAGGAGAGTATAAGGCGAGAAAGCGCAGCAGATGAGGGGCGCCGGACACAGTCTGCTGCTGCAGCTAACTTTTTGAGGCCCTACTACCCTTGTCTGGAGATTGAAGGGAATCGCCTACCTGACTTATACCTGAGTTTAACGGTCGCGGTAGATTTTATCGCGAGATTTTCCTCCAGTATGCAGTACAGGTTGATAGCAGAAAATAGCGAAGGTACGACATTAGAACATTTCGCATGATCACACCTGAAAATCACCTGATTTGGTAACCGGATTCTCGATTTATGGAACTATTTGATTATACTGTGCTCGCATTATACGGTTCTGCAAAAATTTGTTGTGAAAGGCGGACCGATCTCACCATTGCGCTCTTGGCATTACGTTCTTCATATGTACAGGGTGGTCCAAAATTATGAGGACCGCGTGTGCGCGCAGTCATATCCACTTTTTTCCGTATCGCTCCATTTTCATCTCGTTTTCTGTGCACTATGTGAAAGGGTACAATGTCTTCTTCCTAATGAAACCAAATTTCATGAAGTTCTCAAAACTAGTGAAATAACTACTTCACTTTGAGTCAGTCCTCAAATTGAACTCACTAGGGGCTCTGGCACGTTACATCTAGCAGCAGTCTAACCTATCAGAGAAGCCCTTATGAGCAACAGTTCAACTCTTCAATAAGTTTGGAACCACCACAGATGGAAAATTCGGGGACTCGAAAGTTACAGTTACCACCAGGATAATTATCAGATGCAGAAACTAGGTCTCCCCTTGTCGACTTTCGTACACCCAAAATGAAAAAATTGATGTGAAAACCCAGCCAGACACTCTAAAGACTCCACATCTGTAGTGGATAGAAAGCCACACGAGTAGTCTACTTAGAACTTCTTACAGGACCGAGCACCCAAGAATAAAGCAAAAATCCTCCAAAAAGCGATTTTTCGAGTTCGTTGCTTTCGAAGAATTGTTACAATGGAACCATCCACCTAATAGCTCTAGATTTCTGTATTTCACACCCTGGATGCAAGCGCAAATAAATGCAACACAAAAGTTTGATTCCCTGAAGAAGGCAGAGCAGAAGGCCTGGAAACATTTGGACACGCCTTAGTTGCGTGCCACCGCACGCGCCATCCCCTCATCCGAAGGCTCGTGTTAACGGGGGAAGTGGCAGATCTCAATTCTATTCTGGAATTACTTTGAGGTAAGAGTTACAAATACTTCCCAGAAGTTGGTTTGTTCCATCAAGCTACTATGCGTTTTTAACGACACAATGTCTTGGTCCTCATAATTTTGGACCACCCTGTACGTAAGCAAGTTTTCCATAGGTTAACCTGGCCCACATTCAGGGGATACCACAAATCAATGGGGGAGGTCATTTGCAAAAAAAAGAGAAGAAAATTATGGCGAAAGCGGAAGTCAGGAATCGAAAGTGAAAGGCTCAAGATTTGAAATACATTCCAATGCATACATTCCTGCTTTGTAGCTAACGTAGAGTATATAGCTTGTTGGGAAAAACTACGCTAGAGCGTAGCCTAAACAAATGCGCACAGCTGGACGAAAAAATGATTGACCAGAGGACTCAATTCTGTTTCAACTGTGGCCTCCGTCTATTGAGTTTATCAAGGCTGCCAAGGCCAACGTGCATGCTGGATGACGTACTTGTAATCTTTCAAACTCCTGGATGCACTTCTTGAGTGGGGGAGGGGTCGAACTGGAGTCTCAACTAGTAGTAGCAGGTCCAGCAGAAGCTATGGACCGTCGGAAAAGAGGAGGGGCCATGTGAAAACCCTTCTCCGGAGACCTTGTCCCAATTTTAAATCCCTTCCCAATGTGATGGCTCCCTTCGCCTCTACTTCATCATCGGACACATATTTGTGCCTCGATTCCCAGCATATAATGTGTTCACTTGATCTGAATTGATATTTCAGGAGGGATCATCACAAAAGCAGATCTCGCATCGTACAAACCACGGGTTTACAAGCAGTTGGCGAATACGCATTTCCGAGGAAATCTGGTCATGTGTGGCGGACCACCACCATCATCTTTCGCTGTCACGCAACTGATTGTTTCAGTGATGAGTGGTTAGTCAACTTGGAACCATTATATTTAATGAAGTTCTTGGGTAAATTCGGCAAAGCAAGGTTTTTTGGTGAGAATCCGCAATTTCAGCTCTCTATCCCGAAAACCATGGAGCCGACATTCTAAGTGATCCAAAGGTCACTCATCATTTCATCGAGGCAATGAAGTTCGCTTACGCGCAAAGGTGAGACCAGGTGAATGCGCTCATTGCACTGATGGAAATCCGTACAAAAAGTGGTTGGATGCGGGATCATATTCACGTTAGATGCCGAGTTTATTATTAGAAGGCAGCCAACTAGAATAAGGTAAAGATGGTCAGTGGTGCCGGGATGAAGAAAAACCATGAGAAACGGCCAGAACCCGAGAAATGGGACCCCTTCCTTGCCCGTTGATTTCCGCATTGATGCGACTCTCATCGGTGCTGCCCTCTTCAACGCTAACGCTCTCTCTGCTGAACGGCTAGAAACCTGCGGCGAGTAGGTCAGCCAGTCGTGGGCGTACCACGCTCTCTCCAAGAATGCTGGCTTTAGCAGTTTGTTAGACT